TGAGCAGTTCATCAATCAACATTAAAGCCCCTCATTAAGAAGCACGCAAACCATCCCCAACTAACCCACAACTAACTGGCCAAAGGCCATCTGGTCGGGAACAATTCCCCAATGTTTGGCCCCTACATATGTAGGCCGATTGGACGGGTCGAGCTCAGCGCTCTGGCCTTCTCCTAGAGTGCCATAAACTGTTAAGCAAAGCTAATTACATTCTTCAATTCCACCTGCAGCGACGCCGCCCGCACAACGCGTACAATTCATACTGGGTGAGGATGTGGACGATGGCTCGCATGTGTCGCATCCGCTGTTCTCGGAGATGGGAATGCTGGTGAAGGAGGGCGATGAGATTGAGTGGAAGGAAACGGCGCGCTGGATCAAATTCGAAGAGGATGTCGAGGAGGGCGGCAATCGCTGGTCCAAGCCCCATGTGGCGACGCTCTCGCTGCACGCCCTGTTCGAGCTGCGCGGCCTGCTGACCAACGGCACCGTCATGCTGGACATGGAGGCCAGTAATCTGGAGCTGGTGGCCGATCTCGTTTGCGATCAGATGGTGAGCAGCGGCACACTGCCGGCCAACGTCAAGGACAAGGTCAAGGATGCCCTGCTGCGTCGACATCGCCATCAGCACGAGTATGCGAAGAAGACGCGGCTGCCCATCATTCGTTCCCTGGCGGACATGCGCAATCAGTCGTCCTCAAAAAGTGAGTATCTCTCTCTCTCTATTTCTCTTGCTCTCTCTGGGTACGCTCAAGTGCTCAAGATCAGGTTACTCTAAGCTCATCTCGTTCGTTTGTTGCGCATCATCATCATGAGTCATGAGTCGAGTTTCGCCTACTAAAAACCAACATTCACTTAAATAATGCCCGCCAATAACTGAATTGGGGTTGCTTAGCTCCGACTGGGCATGCCTCGTCGCCTGGTTTTGCCATGGACGTATGCCGTTCGCCCGTGACGCCCATCTATGTGTCCAGTAAGGATCAGCGCGGTTGTTATCTCGCTGTTCCCACAGGTATCTCACAATTAACCAAACCAAATTAAAAAAAAAGACAAGTTACAGTTGCTTTCAATGCACCGCCAAATGCTCCAGATCCACGACAGCTGTATAGAGAGCACGCACATAGCCGTCTTGTAACTCCGGTCCTGAATAGAAACTCTACTTCTCAGTAGGATCGTATCGATGCCAGCTTGACGCACTTTGACTACGATAAGCATTATCCTCAGCCATCAGCTAATGCATCTTGTATTACAATACATCCATCAATCAGCCAGTCAATCACTCACACGCACACTAGTTTAAGTAATCCGCCAAGCAGCGCTGTGTATTCGCCATTTGCTAAACACAACTTCTAACCATCGCTCGCTCTCGCTCTCGCTCTCTTGCTCTCTCGATTTTTACGCTCCTATCATACGTTAGCCGACATGGGCGCCATTGGCGTTACCACCTGGTTTCATGCGGGTGCCTCGCCCTCGCATGTCCCATCTAGCCAACAAGGACAATCAGCGCATCAGCCAGCGAACAGCCAATTGACAAGTAAAAGCCTAAAACGATCTATTCAAAACTCTTTGTATGGTTTTACTTCTTTGCGTAACGTGTACCTACCATAGCACGCTGTATTTAACAGATCTATACTGTAAACTAGTTGAAATAGTATGTCCAACTATCTCTCTCTGTCTCTTTTACACACTCTCTATTTCTCTATCACTCTTATATAAAATATTCCAACTCGTCTCGAGTTCAAAACCCTTTAACCAACTTCTCTCAAAGCCCGATAAAATACTTTTTGTGTTGTCTCACTCACACACTATATACTCGTAAAAATACTGGGTTCTAGTTAGATCAACACTATCTAGTAATACTGGGTTCCATTCAAACGATCAAAATATATTTCAATATGATGCAGTCGACCTAACGCGAGATTCTTAGAAATCTTTTTGATTTAACTTTGCGTTTTGCTTTTGTATTTTTTGTTCAATACATTGTTAAACCACATAAAAAACAAAAACAATTTACAGTTGAAGAACAGTCTGGGAGCAATTTAATGGCGACTACGCCGCTCTCGCTGACCGCCAGCGAGCCTGGACCACCTGGAAATACCAATGGCAGTACCGGTGCCCTGGGCATGGGCATGGGTCGGTTTTTAACGGTGCCCGGCAAGCCCAGCAACAGAACGCTCGGTAAAGAACCAAACAAAAAACCACTTCCACAACTCTACCCAACTAGCAAGAAACAAAAGTTATCGTTATTGTTATTGTTATCGTTATCGTTACCGTTACGTTCGTTTACGTGTCTGATTTTTTGTTGATCTTATAGAGAATTTAATTGCAACTCGAGTCCCAAATTCAGTTTCTTTATTTGGTAGTGACAGAAAAAAAATATAGCTCAAGAAAATCAAGAAACCGAAATGAAAGAAAATTTTGCATGCGCCTTGGCTGAGCCTACATTGGAACCTACAACAGTTTTCTAATAGCTCTTAAGTATGTGAGAACTTGATATATGTATGTACTCCATATATAGAAACAACACCACCTACACACACACACACATACATATGCACGCTTGTCACTCACACCAATACCGTTTTCTGCATGTTGCTTCATCATTTCTGTTTTTTATTCTAAATGAAAATTTATAAATTAAACTTTTTGCAATTCTATTTTTTTGTTTGTATGATTTTTCTGTTGTTGTTGTCGTTGCCGTTGCCGTTGTTGTAATGCCTAAATATTAAATAAACAAATTACACAACTCTACCAACAACTCGCACACACTCCAAACACCGAACCGAACCGAACCAACCAATACACACACACACACTCACGCACACACCCACGATTCGTGCGCTGCCGACTTTGACTAATGTAGAGAAAAAATCAAATTCCAAAAATCTGCGGCCCAAACAAAATCTGCCCATGATCACAGAGGACATGGTGAAGAGCCCCAGCAGCCACTCGATGGCCAGGCAGGCCAGCGGCACGGAGCTGGCCGAGCAGCAACACAAGGGCAACTCGCACTTCATGCGCAAGATACCGCCTGGAGCGGAGGCGAGCAACATTCTAGTGGGCGAGGTGGACTTCCTGGAGCGCACACTCTCCTGTTTCATCCGCCTCAGCCAAGCGGCTGTCATGGGTGATCTAACGGAGGTGCCAGTGCCAACCAGGTAGGTTGCTCAAGACAAACTCAATTTTTCGATTAGCTGATTCATTTGGACCTCTCCACCAATTCCTGCTCAGATTCATTTTCATACTGCTGGGCCCACCGGGCAGCCAGAGTAATTTCCATGAGATCGGACGTGCCATGGCCACCTTGATGTCCGACGAGATCTTCCATGAGGTGGCCTACAGGGCGAGGAAGCGCGATCATCTGCTCGCCGGAGTGGATGAGTTTTTGGATGCGGTCACAGTATTACCACCCGGTGAATGGGATCCCACCATACGCATTGAGCCACCAGCGGCAATACCCTCGCAGGAGATCCGCAAGCGGCCGCCCGAGCTGCCCAAGGAAGAGATCGATGAGGAGGAGGAGGAGCAACGTTTGCGCGAAGAGTCGGGCCTGTCGCGCTCGGGTCGTCTCTTCGGCGGTTTGATAAACGATATTAAGCGCAAGGCGCCTTGGTACTGGAGCGATTTTCGAGATGCCCTGTCGATGCAGTGCGTCGCCTCCTGGATCTTCTTGTATTTCGCATGCCTCTCCCCGATCATCACCTTCGGCGGCCTGCTGGCGGAGGCCACGGGCAAGAACATGGCTGCCATGGAGTCGCTGGTATCTGGATTCGTCTGCGGCATGGGCTATGGCTTCTTTTCCGGCCAGCCGTTGACAATATTGGGCTCGACCGGTCCAGTGCTGGTCTTCGAGTCCATTGTCTATGAGTTCTCGATGGCCCAGGGCTGGGACTACATGACATTCCGCTTCTGGATCGGCATGTGGGTCGCCGGCATTTGCATCGTGTTGGTCGCGATCGATGCCAGCGCGCTCGTCTGTTACATAACGCGCTTCACTGAGGAGAACTTCGCCACCCTTATCGCGGTCATCTTCATCTACAAGGCCATCGAGAACGTGGTGGTGATAGGTAAGACCTTCCCGGTAAATCAGGGCATATACGACTGCATCTGCACTGCGCCGGCGAAGAGCAATGCCAGCGACCTCGAGTTTGCCAAGTACAAATGGGACACATGTAAGGTAAGTGTGGGAATAGCTGATAGCTTATAATAATCTTCTAATACTCCCCCCTTCCCTCCCTCTCTCTTTTTATCTGGTAGCTCTACAATGGTACACTCATTGGCACCGACTGCGATACTCCACCCACCGAAAATGTCTTCCTCATGTCCGTTGTCCTGTGTGCTGGCACCTTTATCTTCTCGACCGTGCTCAAGGAATTCAAGAATGCCCTCTTCTTCCCCTCCATTGTGCGACAGTACATTAGCGACTTCTCTGTCCTGATTGCCATTTTCTCGATGACCTTGTTTGACTACTCGCTGGGTGTGCCCACACAGAAGCTGGAGGTGCCCCGCGAGCTGAAGCCGACACTGAGTACGCGTGGCTGGCTGATTCCCCCATTCTGCGAGAAGAATCCCTGGTGGTCAGCAATCATAGCCGTGTTCCCAGCGATGCTCGGCACCATTCTCATCTTCATGGATCAGCAAATCACGGCCGTGATTATCAATCGCAAGGAGAACAAATTAAAGAAGGGCTGCGGCTATCACTTGGATCTGTTTGTACTCTCCGGCCTGATAGCCATCTGCAGTGTGATGGGTCTGCCATGGTGAGTAATCAGAGATCGCTGACCCTGGCATACATAGGTCTAATCTCGACTCCGCTATTTATAGGTTCGTGGCGGCCACTGTGCTGAGCATTAATCATGTCAATTCACTGAAACTGGAATCGGAGTGCAGTGCCCCTGGCGAGAAGCCGCAGTTCTTGGGTGTGCGCGAGCAGCGTGTGACTCACATTATGATCTTCCTGACAATTGGCGGCTCGGTGCTGTTGACACCGCAGCTCAGACACATTCCCATGCCGGTGCTGTTTGGCGTCTTTCTCTACATGGGCGTGGCCTCGCTCAAGGGTCTGCAGTTCTTCGATCGCATTCTCATCATGTTCATGCCAGCCAAATATCAGCCGGACTACATGTTCCTGCGTCAGGTAAGAACTTAGACTTAACGATATCTCTGAATAACCCACTCTTAATCCTCCGCTTTGAACACTCCCGCAGGTGCCCATTAAGCGCGTACATTTGTTTACTGCCATACAGTTGGCCTGCCTGATCATCCTGTGGCTGATCAAGAGTTTCTCCCAGACCTCCATACTCTTCCCACTGATGTTGGTGGTGATGATTGGCATACGCAAGTCCTTAGATTTTGTCTTCACACGCCGTGAACTGAAAATCCTCGATGATATTATGCCGGAGATGACGAAGCGCGCTGCGGCGGACGATCTGCATCAACTGGACGCTGAGGTGGGCTTTTGTCAGAAATATTTACCCTGCTTCGGGGGTCGCGGCAAGCGCGAACCGAAGAGCAGCCTCGATGGTGGCATGGACGTCGGCGCCAATGCCGTCGCCCTGATTAAGTGCAATACCTCAAATGCAAATGAGAAGGAGTTTGAGGCACAAAGTAGTTTGCTCAAGAAGTAAACGGGGCACACCTTGATTTTGGCACACAAGCACACACACACACACACACACAAGCATACAGCACACAACACATCACAAATTTAGGCCAGATCGGCCGATGTGAAACACTCGACACTCGACACTCAACAGTGCTGCCCATTTCGTTTGCGTTTGCAGTGCTGCACAGTCCACCACGGATCCCACTTGATTTGTATCTAATTTGTTGGTATTCTATAATGGACATTTTTTTTAGAGATTTTTGCATTTTGTTGTATAAAAATGCATTACTTTTTACTATTTATATATACATATATATACTTATATCTATATCTATTTTTACCATATTTTTATTCTAACCTTAATCATTCGTATCGATGTACGAGTGAAGACATTCTGTTGTGTTTGTTCTTTAACAGTATTTTGTAAATTTTTTCCCTAATTTTTGTCCCTAAATCGTAGCATGCAAATTTTTGCATTTTGTTATATATATTTTACAAATATCTGTTTTCTCTAACAAAGTACTTTCTATTGAGTTTGTTTATTTAATTTTTACTGTCTTTATTTTCTATATAATTGCTCAACTACTTTTATGATATTGCAAGGAAATCCGAACGTAATTATACCTAAGCCCTTAGCCCCATCTGTATATGCTTACTGAAATTCTATTATTTCCCAATGCATAACTATTCAATTATGAAATGTGTTATCTTTACTTACTCTATATATATACTACTACTCTTAACTATATTGTATTTATATCAATACCATCTATATATATTTGTATATGTTAATGAAACCTAAGCTTAAGTAGTCGGCGCTAAATGCGTTTACACGGTGTAAATGTATTCAATGTATATGTTAAATAATTTTATAGTCCACAAGATAGTACAAGTAACTAACAATAGCAAATTACCAAAAAAACAAAAAAACAAGAAAAAAATATACAAAAAATATACAAAATTGGCAACAACAAAAAAAAATTAAATAAATCATAGAGAAAAAAATAAAAGTATTTGGCAAAACAAAAAGAGAGAAAATTACAGTTAAATTTATAGCTTAACATCACAAAACACCGCATTGGCTCTTAGAAAGACACCACTCTCCTCACCACTCACTAAATATCTAAGACACGGAGGGATTGCTATCTCTTTTACTCTCTCTATCTCTCTCTCTGTCCACCTACACTTTTTCTCTCTTTCACTGTAATTCTTTTGTGAGCTGTGGAAAACAAAACCCAAAACAAACAAACAAACAAAAACCATGCCTATGAATGTCTTCTATTGAAGGACAATCATCATCAGCCGCCCGCCGGTTCAGCTGGAAGTGCTGCCTATAATATGAAGAGTGGCAACGCTGGCACGGGCTCTAGTTCTGGCTCGGCTGCCACAACCATCCACATACCGTTAACGGGCAACAGCGGCAACAACAAAATGGGCGGCACTGCTGCGAGCGGTGCGCCAACGGAGGTGAATCGCACCACAGTCTGGCAGCAGATCAACAAGGACGGCACCTCCGAGCAGCTGATCATACCCGTTACCGTTAAAGTGCGTCATATCAATGGCAACCAGTAAGTGTATCCGAGTAGTTAAAGAGCAGCCAATCAAGCAGGCGAGCCCAAGAACCCCAAATTAAATCGTTTTTGCGGCTAGTCGAGTCAGTTAGAGGCCAAGCTAAACACATTTACAACAAACTTATATACACACATATACATACATATATCTATATATATATACATATATATAAATATCATTCATTTGCATTCGACCATGCTCCTCAGTTCCTCAACCAATGCTGCCCTTTCGCCACGCCTATCGCCCATGCACGAGGCCGATGAGTATAATGAAAGCGCCGCTAACAAGATGACGAACAACCAAATGCTGCCAGCCAATCAGCAACAACAGCAACAACAACAACAACAGCAGCAGCCAAGCAATTGCAAGGAGGCGGCTGCCAAGCTTGAAGGTGCCGTTGTTACCAGCCAAAGTCCAGCGAACATAACACCCGTCTAAGTGAGCCCCACTTATGGGGCATTATCCAAATTATATACCAAACTACCTAAGCGAACTCTTTCGTTCGCAGCAAACTCACAATGCGTAGAACAAGTGCACAAAGTCGACCTAGATCGTCTGAGAGTGTGAATGTCGAATATCAGTATCATAAAAAAAAACATGAAAAAAATATATATATATTATATACATATATACAAATTAATCGTAGCGATTTTTGACAAAGTTTGTAGAATTTACTATCAGCCTAAAGAGACAAACAAATATTCACAGCATTCGTTTGGCATAGAATTCGAGCTGAGCTTAAACAGTTTTAGAAGTATTATTCAGAAAAATAAAAAAACAAAAAAAATCTGGCTCAGGAGTAAACAGCATATGCATTCTAAACATTCGTACACATGTATGTCATATGTATAACACTTTTATAACAGCAATTTTATAACAGATTTCATACCAAACCAGTGTCAATTCAATGCAACAAAAACTCTCCTCAAACAATTATCTACTCTATACAACAAAAATGGTTCCTTTTATGTTTGATCTTAATTTGACTCGCACACACACACACACACACACATAATATGGCGGGCTCGTTTAAAATTTGATAATTCATGGGTTAGATAAGCTGTGATCTTATTGTAGGGTGCGGATTTATTGGTGTACGTAATTAAACTAGCGCATGAGAAATTAGTGAAAAGCCGTCTTGGAAACATTTAGCCACAAAAAACAAAGTTAGAAAAATATAATAAAATCGAAAACATATACAACAACTGTATACAAATGTATTATAATTTATGCAGTTTATACTAAGTTCTGAAACACACATTAAATCTTTATCTATATATATACGTATAAATATTGAATAAAATTATAAATTATATATATTTGTATGTTTCATTTTGTGCGCCCTAGTCTCCTTTTGTTTCAGTGTATTTGGTGCATAGTTCTCAGTGTGGCACATTGTACATACATCAAGACATACTCTATAGAGCACTCAATAAGATTTCGTGTCTGCCTGCTCCCATCTAAATCGTATCAAAGCATCTATCAATCAGTCAATCAATCAATCAAGCATCAACCCATTTGCATCGTGTTGATGTCTAAACACTAACCCATTGTAATGCTCGTTAACAATCCTGTATTTTAATGTCTGTGTCCTAGGTATGCTGGCAGATCTTTGAAAAATCTTCGATATTGGCTTTGCTCGCGTTTATTAATTTCCACATTTCGTTTTTACAGAACCAAAAATTTGATACGACGAAGCCACTGTGGCATGGATATCATACATCAACAGAAACGTCCGTTTGAGTCGATGATTTAGTTGGCCAGAAAGCGGCATCAAAAATATTATATTTATTATAAAACATTAAGAAATTATTTATATGTATGTGTACTAATGGTATTATATATGTATGTATGTATTTATGTACAAGGCAGCGGCACCGTTACCGTCCCCTCTTCAATTCCCTGTGCGTTACAAGGCACAAAGATGCAACAAACCAAGAGACATCTCCACACTTAATTTAATTATTGTAATGTTAACATATCAACACACAAAGCAAAACAAACAAAATCAAAAAACATTTCGATCTCCTGGAATTGATCACGAATAAATATTTTAAATGTGTTTCAATGGACTTTTCAAGATGCGCAATATATTCATTAAAATGTATTTTAATAAAACCAACTTTTTCATTTACAGCGAATTTCAGGCAAGTTTCGATCGAAGCTGATTTTATAGCGAATCTAATCACCCTACCTTAGAGCGCATATTTCAGCTGATTAAGGAGCGAATCTTTCAGCTGCTGCAGCCTGAAGCCGACAGGTAATTGTACACATAAATTAATTTAAAGGAGAATATGTCAGCTGAGCTTGAGGCGAAATCCACAGCTGATTTTTGCAGCTGTATCAATTATCAAAACTAACATTTCCGCATGGACTAATTTTGAAGGGAGCCTCTCGTTGTTTTTTGGGCAAACTTTATTAATTTACAAGTCGTTAAAACTTGTCTTAACAGAACCCTGTTTTCATTTTTTGGCTACATTCATATATTACAAGATTCTGTGAATTTATTTTATTGAGTTAGTTTGTCTTAAGCTTAATGAATTTTAAAGCCTTAAGATTAAAATGACATTCTCAATGTTCTCACAGTTAAGAGATAATACTTTAATATTGCTCTAAAATATTTTCTTAAATCCGTTTGTGCCAACATTTAAATTTATCAACTGAATTTGAAAATAATAAATATGCGTAATCGATAACAGAGCTATCGATATGTGGCTACTTACTAGCACTGTTATCCACGCTGTTCGGCAGCACTCTTTACTCTTACCTCGACCAGCTGTTGTTGGTGCGGCACTGAGCGCGTGTTTTTAGTAAAAATATATAATTTATTAATTAAAACGCATTAAAAATGACGCTAATAACACGTGTGCTGACTGGCAACCTGCCACTGCGTCTTAGCGCACTAAAAGCCGCTCGTCAGGTACGTATTTAATTGATATTTATGCATTTCTCCAATTTGTTGAATCGGCTCATTATGTAATTTAAATTTGTAATGCATTTTCAGCTGCAATGCGGCTACAGCTCACACGCTAAGTACGCAGAGCACAAGCCCATCGAGCGCATCCGCAACATTGGCATCTCGGCGCACATAGACAGCGGAAAGACAACGCTCACTGAGCGGATTCTATTCTATACGGGCCGGATTGCTGAGATGCACGAGGTGCGAGGCAAGGACAATGTGGGTGCAACAATGGATAGCATGGAGCTGGAGCGACAGCGTGGCATTACCATTCAATCGGCGGCCACGTACACGGTGTGGAAGGATGTCAACATCAACATCATCGATACACCCGGTCACGTGGACTTCACGGTCGAGGTGGAGCGTGCGCTGCGCGTCCTCGATGGCGCTGTGCTCGTGCTTTGTGCCGTGGGTGGCGTCCAGAGTCAGACGTTGACGGTGAACAGGCAAATGAAGCGCTACAATGTACCATGTCTGGCCTTCATCAACAAACTGGATCGCATGGGCTCAAATCCCTACCGAGTGCTCTCGCAGATGCGTTCCAAGTTGAACCACAACGCAGCCTTTATTCAGCTGCCCATTGGTGTGGAGAACAACTGCAAAGGTATTGTGGATCTAGTGCAGGAGCGTGCCATATATTTCGAGGGCGAGCACGGCATTAATTTGCGCCTGGACGAGATACCGCAGGATATGCGCGTCGAGTGTCAGGAGCGGCGGCAGGAGCTTATCGAGCATCTGTCCAACGCAGACGAAACTCTGGGCGAGCTCTTTCTGGAGGAGAAACCCTTCACGGAGGCAGACATTAAAGCGGCTCTGCGACGCACCTGCATCAAGCGCACCTTTACGCCCGTCCTGGTCGGCACTGCGTTGAAGAACAAGGGCGTGCAGCCGCTCCTCGACGCAGTCGTTGACTATCTGCCCAATCCGGGCGAGGTTGAGAATCTCGCTTATATCGAACAGGAAGGACAGGAGAGGCAACAAATCGTCCTTAATCCGGCGCGAGATGGCAAGGATCCGTTCATGGGATTGGCCTTCAAGCTGGAGGCCGGTCGCTTTGGCCAGTTGACCTATTTGCGCTGCTACCAGGGCGCACTCCGCAAGGGTGACAACATCTACAATGCCCGCAACCACAAGAAGGTGCGAATCGCCCGTCTCGTCCGGCTGCACTCTAACCAAATGGAGGACGTCAACGAGGTCTTCGCTGGTGACATCTTCGCACTCTTTGGGGTCGATTGCGCCTCGGGCGATACCTTCACGACCAATCCCAAGAACAATATGTCCATGGAGTCGATATTTGTGCCCGAGCCGGTTGTGTCCATGGCCATCAAGCCCAACAATACCAAGGATCGAGATAATTTCTCCAAGGCCATTGCCCGCTTTACCAAGGAGGATCCTACCTTCCATTTCAAGTTCGACAATGATATCAAGGAAACGCTCGTCTCAGGCATGGGCGAGCTGCATTTGGAAATCTATGCCCAGCGCATGGAGCGCGAATATGGCTGCCCAGTGACGCTGGGTAAGCCGAAGGTGGCGTTCCGAGAAACGCTCGTCGGTCCATGTGAATTCGATTACCTGCACAAAAAGCAATCAGGCGGCTCGGGTCAGTACGCCCGCATTATTGGCGTCATGGAGCCACTGCCTCCCTCTCAGAACACATTGATTGAGTTCCTGGACGAAACGGTAGGCACCAATGTGCCCAAGCAGTTCGTGCCCGGCGTGGAGAAGGGCTTCCGAGAGATGTGCGAGCGCGGCATGTTGTCCGGCCACAAGTTGTCGGGCATTCGATTCCGTCTGCAGGATGGTGGCCATCACATTGTAGACTCCAGTGAGCTAGCATTTATGTTGGCTGCCCACGGGGCCGTCAAAGAAGTCTTCCAGAACGGCGCCTGGCAAATTCTGGAGCCCATCATGCTGGTCGAGGTGACGGCGCCCGAGGAGTTCCAGGGTGCCGTCATGGGCCATCTGAGCAAGCGCCACGGCATCATCACCGGCACAGAAGGCACCGAGGGCTGGTTCACCGTCTACGCCGAGGTGCCGCTCAACGACATGTTTGGCTATGCCAGCGAGCTGAGGTAACTAAGTGAAGCTTATCCTTTATAATGTCTCTAATGTGGTAAATATTGCTCTTTTCTTCTCAGATCAAGCACTCAGGGCAAGGGCGAGTTCACCATGGAGTACTCCCGCTACTCGCCATGCCTGCCCGATGTACAAGAGCAGATCGTGCGCCAATATCAGGAATCACAGGGCTTGGGTCAGGCCGAAAAGAAGAAAAAGAAAAACTAAAAATAGCTTAAATTCTAGTTGTAAAGTCGAATAATGTTTGCTTAATTTAATTTAAATTCATATACAAGTTTTTTGTTTTTACTGTGATAACCGTTGCATCTTCTAAAATCAATGACAATTTGTACAGTTTTTCTAATCAAATTAGCATCAGATAAATGTTAATAACTTGTCTAGCGAAAAAATAAACAATTAATAAGTTGAATACAAAGCAACTGCAATATTATTAAAATTTTAATAAACCCTTAAATATTCTTTTATATATATTTTAAATTATAAAAAAAAAATTAAATTTTGTCTGGTATATTATAAAGAGGCACAAGAGCTGCACTTGGTCACACTGTTCTAACAGTGTGCAAGCTTAACAGTGCCACTTTGAGCATAACATAGACCTTTATAATTTAATGTTATTTCGGTTGTTGTTGTTCTGACGTCGAACGAACGGGACGTGTGTCGCGCGTTAAATTAAAAAAGATATACATATATAATAATAATATAGATAAACCAGAGCTCCGATACGCACGCGAAAATTGATGCGAAAGAATCGAAATATAACAGAACGTCAGCTATGAAAAAGAAAAGCAACAACACAACTACACCTAATTAAGTTAACAAAATTGTTTTTCCGGACGCGAAATGAAAATGTAATCAAAGAGACGAAATGAAATTAACTGGCAGTCAAACGTAGAGCAGCAAAGTCAGTCAAACAAATTGCTCGACAACCTCAACAAACCAATGGGGAAATGGAAACAGACTACATCTCCTTCCTTCTCTTCGTGTGTGGCTGTAGAACCATAGGACATTGCTTGAAAATCGTACACGGAAAATTTGCGCACAGATCGTAAATGTGAAGCGCGCGCGGCGTGGCAGAAATTGTGGAAAATTCAATACAAAACGGCGCGACAATAACAAAAAAAAAAAAAAAAGAAAATAAATAAAAGGCAAAGAGAAGAAAAGAAATTTTGCAAAGCAGCTGTGTCTATCTCAATGTGAGCGTGTGTGTGTACGTGTGTGCCACTGTAGCAAGAAAACAAACACAAAAGTGAAAATCAAAGGGAATTGCAAACAAAAACAATAGTGCGCATACAACAACACCAACTACAACAACGGTAATCAACAACAACAACTAGCCGCAACCGCTGACTTCCTCTTCGAGCATTTGCAAACGCATTTACACTCACACACACGCACTCACTGTTACCTGAGTGCCAACGGCAAAGACGGCGACGACGTCGCAGCATCTAAGCAGCTGACATACAGCTAATCTCTCTCCCTCTCTCTCTCTTTATAACTATCGCTCGCTTGCTCTCGGTCACTTGCTAGGTAAATTAATGCACGCCTACGCTGACGTCGCTGCTGCCGCACGATAATGCAAAAGACAACAAAAAGAACAGAATCCAAATCAACAACTTCCAGCACGCTGGCATTTCAACTAGTCAAATTATTTGCCTAAGGACACAACGCGAAGTCAGCAACAAGAGCAAACATATCCGTCAAATTAAGTAGAGATTAGAAAGTTCGATAACATAATTCGATAATATACTCGCGCACTCTCTCACACATACACAAACAACATGGATTGGATCATCAGCGATGAACTTGGTCTGACGGTCGGCCATGTCGTCGGTTGGGCGGCTGCCTCGGCAATGGTTATCGGTGGTGTGATACCCTATGTGCCGCAATATATTGAGATCAAGAAGACGCAGGACGCCGAGGGCTTCTCACTCTACGTCTGTCTGGCGCTGCTGGTAGCCAATTCATTAAGAATACTCTTCTGGTGAGTCTTTTATACCATACCTAAATATGGAAACTGTGTGTCATGTCTACATTGCTTTGGTCTTTCTGCTGTCAATTCGTAATTTAATTATAAATTGAGCTATTTAAGTATTCATTTTGGAAGAGCTATCGAATGTTCATATTGCTTCTAATAATTATTTATCATTATGAAAATTTTCACATTTGCCTCAAATTTTTCAACTGATATTGAAATATTTCTCAGAGTATTTTCTAAAATAAAAATTGATAATAAGGATATCTAAATCTTAAGTTCTATACACAATATAATTAAAGTAGAACTCAGAGTATTGTATAGAACTAAATCAACAATTGCTACGATGAGGTTTACTGGGAAATATTAGAAAGCATGCATTCATCGGTAGCACCACAGTGCAGATAAGCAGACAATAGATTTCTAGAAGATCCCGCCCTCTTGGCTCTATTGAAATATGCCCAATGACACATTCCACTTGCGTGCTAATAATATCTGTGCACATTGTTATCGGAGTGCGCTAGGTACTTGGGCGGGCGCTTATCAGCGGCTTATCGGGTAATTCGGGCAATGTTTATAGTGGCTCGTATGATCTCATGGCATACTATATGATGTATATGCATTCATGTCTAGCCATGTCATGATTTTAGTCCATTTCTGGCATGTTTATTACATTGTCCAAGGGCTACAGCGTGTTTTGGACCATCATATCTTTATTGGAATGCGAAGCTGATACGATTTCTCAAGACATCAGCATTTTGAACTGAAATTACGCCTGGTTTATCAATGAATGAGGTGAAATTTCTATAACTTTGATCAGGTCAGGCATATTAAGTAGACACTCGAAGTTTATTTTAGTTTCCCATTAAATGGATTTGTATAATATATATAACAATATTAGTAATTGTTGAGATTGTCAAGCTAGCTTTGGGAACTACGAAAACAATCAACGGAATTATTTAGTAGTTTAATTTAATTAATTTATTTACTTCGCACTCGTCACATTTATAACGATGACACACTTAATTCTCTGCTTGTCGTCGATTCATCATTCTGCGCAAATGAATCACATTCAAACCACAAATTTTAATTCAATTTGAATAACTGTGCAGACGGCGATCAATGTCAGGGTTCCTTCCAGCCGAACCAGTTGCAACTGCCTTTAGGTTTATCAACTCATTGTTGCGCCCAGAGAAAGCCAAGTGTGAAAGTCGAATATGTGTTTCAATTATTTAAAATTCAATTTACAGGTTTAAGCTTCAAGTCTTTGAAATTTGACAATGTTCAGAGAAATTTAGGCTTTGAATACTTTAATACCATATTCTAATATATAGCTTTAATTTCTATAAATCAGTTTTAAAGAACTATTTCTTAAAAAAAAAAGAAAAACAAATTGTTTACTCTGCCTCGTTTTTATGTGCATCATACCCTTTCCTCAATATAATATTAGTACTCAAGTGATCTATGAATTTCTTGGTATTAACTTAGCTTATCTGAACTTCTTTTGAAATAGCAATTTCAAATATATGTATATTTCAATGCATAAACAATTCTAATTTCATCTTATGCTAATTGCTCATCAAATACGTTTCATACACGATTCTTTCAATGACCTGTGAGCTATTTTAGTGAAATTAATCAGTATTGCCAAAACCGTAAACAATTCTCTTTGATCTCTGAGAACTCTGTGTGCCAAAAGCAATAAAAATAAGCCATTTCGCAGCGGGCTCAAACGTGTTAGCCACAGCTGATCGGAAACTGGAGGCCAGCCACTGTCTGAGACTTTCGTCACTGCAGCCAGGGTCAACCACTTCCACCTGCTGCTGCTGTTGCTGCTGCTGCTGCTGCGGCTGCTCAATGTGCTTCGTTATACATACATATAAAGTATGAAACTTAAATGCCACTTCCGAGCGTGAACAAGAAAACCGGCGGAATCCCTTATGAATAACTTATATATAAATTGCAGCAACAAACGGAAAACGAATCGCTATTTAGCTGTCGAGTTTTACTGACTAAATAATACTAATTTATAGTATCTTGGGCATTTATTTTAATTATATGAGAATGGGAATAAGACAGCGCTTGGGGTCTGGTAGACAATGAAAGTATTATTGAACCGTTTAAACAACAATTAAAACCTGGATTGTTTTTCTTTTTACTATTTTTTAGATGAGACTAAAAAAATGGGAAAAAATAAAGAAAAAGATTTTAATGATTTATATAATATATATTATATGGAAATAATTTCCATATATATAAAAAATTCATTTAAACTAATTTAAAGCCAGAAATGGCTACAAATAGATGAACTGAACTTGTTACCCTAGAAATGGGTAAAAATATATATGTAGATATCTCAAATGTAAACCCATGTTATAAGCAAAAATTGATTTCAGTTCTTAGACAAGAGAAAATTCGAGTTTTTAGCAATTTAATTGAAAGTATCAAATAATCATAGCACGTTGTATAAAAATCAGCTACTAAATGTCAAGAGAGGCATGATGCAACACTAATATGCCCCTTTGGCCTGTGCGAAGTAGTGCATCGAAATGAAGACAGCAAGCGAAGCGAAGCGGGCGCAACTGGTGGCCGTCGTCGATTTGTCTGTCATGTTGCCAGCCAGCGCAACAACAATCAATAATTAAACAGCTTAGCTAAAAGCTCGACTAGAAACTATTTGGTGTCTGCTCAAATGCCAAGTGAATCGGCTGTTTATGGAATTTTCTTGTATGAACACAAACACACACACATACATACATATAAAGCTTGATATAGATGTACATATATATGTATATTTAGATTTCCGAGTATGTATCTACGTTCAATGCCATGGGACTATTGGATGGGGCGTAGATAGACCTCCCGTTTCAAGTTGAAGTATTTATGGCGTGACTCTTGGCACTGCGGGTGGGAACTTGGGTCACGCCATTGCGTTGGCCACAGAGGCGCCAGCCATTAGCTGGCCCCACTTTAAATTGTGGGTGTCCCCCGTAATTTGGAGCATTTTCACATTTATGATAAGCATGCCGAACAAATGCACATAATTATTTGCATACCTTATGCTTGCACGTGTCGTCAGTAAATGCATTTGCATTTTATTGTTGCCCTTAGAAGATGTTTGTGCTCATTCATGAACTGAAGAAGAGTATATTGGTTTTGTGTAATGTTCAGTTGAGCGAGCATTATGCCATCAGTGATGCTCGACTACAGAATTTTTACTATATAAATAAATAAATATACTTTAATTATAAAATAGATTTTCGCTAGTATATTTTTAATTTACTAATAATTTTATTAAAATTGTTGTAGTCTTTATTCTTTAGAGTAAATTTGAATTACAATAAAATTAAAATATTTTCAACAATTATTAGGTGGCCCAATCCTAATAATAATCAATAGAAAAAAGTTTGTATTCATAATGAATAAGCACAGTTGCTTCTGAAGGCTTTATAGGTTTTTCGATTTTGTTTTGTTTGCTTTTCCTTTTCACATATCGCATGCTCCGGCAACTCTTGAGATTTACTGTTCCATTGTTGCTGACAAGTTAATTATCATTATTCTGTCTAATCGCTGCCGCATTGACTAAGCAATAACGCCCCCGCCCGCCAGCCCAGTGCCTCAAAGTGCATTGGTTAGCCCCAGCCGGAACAGACAGGCAATTTGTGGGGCACACACACACACACACACACACACTCATGCACACAGACAAGCAGTCAACACTTAAATGAGAACTCGTAAAAAAGTGCTGTAGCATTGCATTTCAGCAATTTTTACAACCAATTGCCAGACGTCGCATTACATTTTTTAATTACTTTTTTTTTTTTTGCAATAATTGAATCTTTGACGAATGTTAAGCAGGTCTGGTTTATTTTTTCGTATATCTTCCGGACAGTGTTGCCAGTGTAGCCTATTTAAGGCTAAAATGAACCAGAAATTGAGGCTATGCCGAAGTCGTAGTCTCTAAGAGAAATATAGAACTGAAGAAACTGCTATTTACCCCCATCTAAAAATCTCTCTTTAAATAAGAACCAGAGAAGATCGATTAACTTCTCTATATGCAGCAGAGAGTGTTCCCATTGGACACATAGAGAAGATTTGAGCGCGAGTTCGTCTTTGAGTGAAAGTCGTCCTATATAAAGGGCAGCAGTTGCAGCATTTCTTCAGTCGCCCAGACCTGGCGGAGGTCAATCGTGCAGTGCAGTAAAGTGTGGTGAAATGAAGTGTGTGACCGTTCAGCTGATTATTAAAGAATCAGAGGAAGCTGTTAACACTTAAAAATAATGCAGAGATCATAGTTTTAGTAAATAAACAATAAATTAATAAATACTTAGAGGAAAAACTCAGAGAAAAAGTTTAGGCGAAAGACTTAGAAGACATATTTAGAGGAAAAACTTAAATAAAATAAGTAGAGCAAGGACGTGAGAGCGAAGACTTAAGAGAAGTTCTGGGAGTAGATAATAATATATTGAGTGCCAAACTATTTTTTTTTTTTGTATTTTATATTATTATTATTAAAATCGAAAAAGGCAATTTGCCTGCGTTCTCTGATAATATATTGTTTATATATATTTGATTATTTTGCCGCCTACGTATAGCATATACTCAACTGATATGTGGATACGTGTTATGGTCGCGACTTGAATGAGCTCATCGATTCACTCATATTAATCATATTCAGCGACCACAACAATAACAAAAACAAACACAAAGCGAAATAGAAACTGAGAGTAAATGTTCGTAAATTAAATAACTTTTTGAATTCATTACACTCATTGTTAGTCATTGTTTATAATTAAAATGTAACTTCTACAACAAAGAATTCTCATCGATTTCACTGTTAATTAGTTACTGTTTGTTCTATAATGGATTTACTAAAGAGGAAGTTAAACTGTATATTAAATATATTTTAAAAGGAAATAAAATTGACATGCAAAAAAATGTGTAAAATAAAACAGTAATATATGTAAATAGCTTTAAAGTTTTTTTTTTTGTTGTAAACTAATTTCACA